CCCCCCCCATTTTGTCTCTCCTCGTTTAGATATACCTATGATGATAATTACAGGCCTCTCTCATCTTTTTAAGTGGGAGAACATGCACAATTGGTGGCTGACTAAATACTTTTTTACCCCACTGTAAGATCTCTTGACCTAGGAGCCTGGCATCTTTTTGCAACCTTTCTACCTAAGGCAGGATAAATTGCTATAAAGATGCAGATTGTTTAGCTTATGTTCCTCAGTGGATAACATGAATAACGTGATTGCAACCCAGGCACTGAAGCGTATCCTTGCTGAAGAAATATAATCTAATATAAATATAATACAAAAATATAGCAGATGTATTGTGGTTGCATGAAGAGCAAAGGAGGCTAACAAATTGGGGCGGGGGGTGGGGGACATTTTGGGAAGAGCTTAAAAACTTACCTGCCTCCTTTCCACCAACAATGGATTAGGATAGTGCTTGTCCTCAGCATTAGAAATTACCTACTTCCTTAACAGTTTCGTATCTTTTTTATTCACTTTTTAAAAAATTAAACTGAATGTTTAATGGTGTTTTCAGTGTTTGTAAACCACTCAGAGTATTGTGTTGAGTTGATACTATGTTAATGTTGAAAATAATAAAAATAATAAAAGTGCCACTGAGGATATGTTTTCTCTAATTTTAGTTAATGAAAAACCTGGCCTCAAAGTGTTTGTGGTTGAACTGTAAGAAGTTGTGTTTTTACCACTTGGGTCTTTTTTCTCTTAAAATACAAAGATAGAGGACTGAAAAAAAAATACATGTGGAAACTAATTCCATAAAATGAGGCAGCACGTTCAAGGGGGAAAGCCTGAGTTTGTCTTTATCCAGTATCTGAATATCAGAATGTGTAGACTTGAAATACTGGTCTGTGCAAATAAAACCCCAAAGCAGAACAAAAGGCTTTCCTTTAAATGGCCTTTTCACAGTTGTTTAAACTAAGACTATTTCTTAACTGAGCAGCTGAGATCAAATGAACCCTCTTCCCCAATTGGTCATTGATTTTTGTGTGCATGTTTCCAAAAAGGAAATGAAAGCCACAGTAAGAGCCACCACAGCATGCTTTTACATTTTACATATGAAACAAGAGCCAGTATACCTTAGATCAGAGCAAAAGAAGGGATGGTTCTGGGTAGAGGAGAGGACTGCTGTCAGTGGAAGGGTAGAAACTGGAGAGGCAAAGGAAGTAAGCCCATCCTCAGTTTCCAAATATCTCTTCTGGTTGATGGCTGCATAGTCCAGGCTGACACTTTCTTGTAGCTCTATGTTTCTTTATGCTGAGGGATGGGTTGCCCTTTGGTGTCTTGACTTTTTCCCAGACGGCACCAACTTGGAACAGGGGTGGAATAGCAGATGCTTCTTCCATCAGATTTGGGGCTGTAGAACTAAGTGCTGGAATCAGAACAGATACAGAGCAAGCCTCTGCCTAAGTATATATTGATTCTTCCTCTTCCTGTCACACTGTTTAATTTTCCTATAAGGAACTTGGGGCACTTGCTTATTCTTCAGCTGTTTCTGATTCTTTACCAGAGTGGAGGAACACACAAACTTGTGATCCTCAACTTGATGTCATTTAGATGTTTTAGGCTAAAACTCCTTTCACTCAGCATAACCAGTGGCAAGGGAGACATCTGAGGGCATCAGGATGGGATAAGCTGCAGCAATCACTTAAAAGTGTGCTATTTTGGAAATCATGTAGTGAGGTGGTTGTCTGTCTCTGATAATTTCCTTGCTAGTGATTTATACCATCTTCTAGAGCGTTATTGTGCTAGAATAACAATAATTCAGACAGGCTTTATATCAGTTAAACCATGGTTGGCTGATGCTATGAAGTTATTGTAATTCACAAGTGTGGTACTGACCTCTGTTTCTGCCAACTGTCTCTGGCTTTGGATATGACTGGCAAAGTGATGGCAGAACAGGCTTAATGCAAGGTCTGTGCCATCCCTGTCTAGCTTTATTGTCTTTTCCTTATATTTTCACGAAGTGGACCAACATACATGTCTTTCTGTGGCTTAAGAAAATTATATACTTGATTATTGTGAGGTCATTCTATCAGTGTGAATACTGCCAATATAAGTTCTACATTTTTCCTTCACCGCCAGCCCAGAAGCAGGATATGATTCTAATTGGTGTTATTTCGTCTCTTTATAGAAACAGAACCAGGATGACACTGAAGATGATTTAGAAATTGCTATTGACAACACTGCTTTTATGGATGAATTCTTTGCAGAGGTAAACATTGCTGAGAAGAGAGAAAGTAGCTCTGAAATTAAAGCTGGGCTTCAGAGTGACAAAATGGTGGAGCTTCGTGAGATTTATTTATTTCTGCTGTGAAAACTCTCGTTTGAGGAGACTGCAGAAAACTTCAGCGACCAGAATAGAGTAATGCTGGAGGAGCCATGGGCTGCAACTAAAACCTCCCAAACTTCCAGGGGCCCACAAAAGGCCATCTGGTGATGTGGTAACGTGACCAAGTATGGTCCCCAAATTGACAATTTTGAGCTTGTTTTTTTTCAGCTTGGGAGGCAGATTATGAGTTGTTAAGGGTGGGGATGTGAACATTTTGACCCTCAGAGGTTTTTCTCCTCCCATTTCTACCCCTAATTCTGGGGAAAAAATATTTAAAATCATTTAGCTAACAACCATTTTGCCACTGAATTCTGGTGGTATGAGAGCAATGATTGCTGGGTGCCAGTAGTGGTGATTGAAACAGAGATGTCCAGTTCCAGCTTCCCTAGCATCCTGTGCACAGGCCAGATTTTTTTTCCCCTTATAGCATCTTTATCCTGCTTTTTTGCCAAAAAGTCTACAGAATAGAGTCCATACATTCAGTGGAAAGAGAGAGCCAGAGCCACAGAGTGTGTAAGGCCCTCTCCACAGGTTTTCAGCCTATTCACAGTCTGGGAGAAAAAGAGAAGAGAGAACTTGGATACCAATTCTTAAATTTCAATTGCAGCTCTTATATAATATCCTGCTGGTTGTAGTTCAGGGAGAAGAGACTTGTGGGAGCTAATTTTTTTACCAGAGCTGGTAGAATGCTCCTGATTCTCATCTCATCTTTTATTTTGCTAAATGGTTGAAATGTGAGGCTTTGGTCAGTGTGTTCTCAATATCCCTCCTATATTTCCTGGATATGGGCCTCTTGGAAGTTCAGCAGATTGACGGGGTGGTGGCAGTAGGTAGTCCAGGAAGCAGTACTACTTCAATCACCTGCTATTTTCTTTAGTCCAGTACTGTAAAGAGGAGATGCTGGGTAAATCAAACTGTAGTCACTGCTGCTCTTACCTTCCTTATCTCCAGTGCCTGTGAAATAAGGAAGAGCTTGGAAGCCTTTGGCAAAGGAAGAAGATGACAGATACTTTGCCTGGTGTGGCCTAAAAAAATGTTAAGCTTGAAAAAGGCTTACTGGAGGTCATGAGCACAATTTCTCCACCATATCAGCTGCTGATACTAGGTTTGTCAAAGGAAGTAACATCTCCCTTCCCTTGAGATGATGATGATAATGCTAGGGTGAGGCAAACTGTTGTGACCCTATGAGTAGCAAAGAGAGTTGGTCTAAATTCTGCATTACAGTGTTCATGAAGTCATAAAGAATAAATGTGAACATAATCTTAAGAATTTTGCATTTAAGCATATATACCATTTGTACATATGAGTGTGGAATAAATGACCAATCCCTAGATTGGCCATTTGGGAAATTAATTCTACTGATAGATCCAAAGTACATTACAAGAGAGCATCTTTCAGTTGTTCAAACCAGAAGCAAAATTTACAGAGTTACTGACATTGCTGAAAATAATAGAACACATCGACTGAATAGCAGGTTTTTTCCCCCCAGTTTTATAGCAGGAATAATTACTGGCAGGAGAAGATAGAAGATGAACTGCCTTTGTGCTTGATGCAGAAGAAGAGGGAAGGTCTGGCTGCCCTTGGAACTGCAAAATGTTTGGCAGGGATGCAGTTCTAGAAGTGTTATGCATTGTTTTGTAAAATTTACCCTTCAAATCACTGCCTGTAGAAT